TGAACAAGCACTGTGTGAGCCATGCGTCAGCAGCGAACGCTGTCTGTGATTGATTGGTTCTGTCTTTCAGCATTTGCGTGTGTTCCGATGAGCAGGAGAAATGGTTCTATCCAACACAATTATTCGCTAATATATTATATTTTTCCACTTAAAAGCTTATTTTATGCACCGAATTTCTTGATAAATAAAATCAATGGTTAAAATTGTACTTTAGAAGCGATATTTTGATGTGAGGATCGATCCTTTCGATACAACATCAGTATCGAAAGTATCGATACTTAAAGGGTTAGTTCACCCAAAAATGAAAATTAGCTTGTGTTTTACGTACCCTCAAAGCATCCTAGGTGTATATGACTTTCTTCTTTCAGACGAATCCGGTCGGAGTTATATTAAAAATTGTCCTGGCTATTCCAAGCTCTATCATTGCAGTCAGCGGGTGTTGCAGTTGAACAGTCCACAAGTTGTCAAATAAAGCTCGCGCATTCATAATAAAACGTGCCGCAGATGGCTCCGGGGGATGAATAAAGGCCCCTTGTAGCGTATCCATGTTCCAAGTTTTTTAAAGAAAAATATCCATATTTCAAACGCAGTGGTGGACAGTAACAGAGTAGTTTTACTTCGTTACTGTACTTAAGTACATTTTTCAAGTATCTGTACTTTACTGGAGTAGTTTTATTTTGAGTAACTTTTACTTCACTACATTTCATAAAACTTCTCATTACTCCTTATAATATATCACGTGCTCTGACACGCAGAAGCGGTGTCTGATTCAAGAACGAACTGATTCTTTTCAATGAACCCGTTAAATCGGATCGCAAATCGCGCCAAACGATTCATTCACGAATTGGAATGATCCGATTGTAGCTGTTCTCGAGTCGACAACTCACTGATTCAAATGAACTGTTTAGTGCGCATCTCCAGTGAACTGAACTCACAAGTAAGAACCGGGAGATCTTGTGAGCGCGCGCGCGCGACTGATGCTTTTAAAAGTTAGTTACTAATGTTGAATTTTAGGATTAATTATTGTAACTGAAAATCATATTTAGGTCAAAACTGTCAGTTGTTTGTGAACTAAATCTGCTGTAAAGGGTGATCTATTTAAGCCCACTGAAATGCTTGAATGCAGACACATCAACATCAGTGTCTCTATGTTTTAGGTAAAAAAAAACCTGAACCATTAAAATAACACAGATTAAATAAAATAACTCATGCGCGTTCATATTCCCCGCTGCCGTAACGTTAACAGTTTTATTAAAATGCTATGCATTTAGCCCTATGTGAAGTCTGTTTTTATATTGTTTATCAACAGTATATATTTTTATTTCGTTTGGATTAACTAGCCGAGTAGACAGATATGAATGTTTATTCATCATAACCATACTGAAAATAAGTAAATATTGTTAGCTGATGCTAACTGTCAAGATAACGAGCTTGCTGGTGCTAAGTTGAGGTAATTTTTAGATATAAAGTCCAAATATTTTTTATTCAACCACCTAGATAGATTACATCTGGGGAAAAGAAAGGATGTGATGTTCAGAACATGGTAACTACAGTTATCATCAAAGTGGGAAGTGATGCCCTCTGGGGGCATTTGGCCAGGGGTGTTTTTACACCACAGACAAGGTTTGAGAAGAAAAAAATCATTATGAAAATATAATTATATTTTCCTTAAAATGTTCTTCCTAACTTCAGGCCTTATTCTCATATATACTTGTGATGTTCTGCAAAACAACAAGCTTTAAAACACTTTTTTCTTACTGGTGAAAATCAGATGGTCAGATCTGTTTTCTCTCAGGTACTTCGCAGTGTAAGCTTCACAGTGAACATTACTACATCACTCTCGTCAACATAT